TAACTATAACTGAACATTGAGCGTTAAAAAAGGATCCCTGGTTGTGGAAATGCAAGTTAAGAGTTGTCATGTATTACAATTTCCAGGTTTCTATATTTTAATAGAAGCACTTAATGCATTCTTTTGTCCAATACTTTAACTTTCTAAATAAGAAGAATTTGACATTAATGTATTAAGCATGGCAATATCACATAAGGTAAATTCAGGCTCCTGCCAGTGCACAAATAGAAATTAAACACTTTGTGAATGGAGTTTCCATTGATCTTTGACACACGTTCCACAGCACCTGACTGATTCAAGACTGGAAAATTAATGTTCAGAGTTTCATCATAATGAGTTGGTCTCTTTGCATGTAACAGGAGTGCAATTTAGTTTAGTTACACATGAAGTGAATTGGGAGATTGCCATTTTCCACTAAATTCCACTATGTCAGAATTCATTGTAAATCTATTCTACTGTACGAGTAAACTAAAGCAATGGGTTTGTGGTTATCTTTTGATTAAAATGCCCCCCTATGCTTTATCTTTTTCTTTGTGCCCATCTGATTACAGTGCCATAAATAAATGTGTAACAGATAACAAATACAGAATTTAGAAAATGCCCCCCTTCTGCCCACAGTGGGTAAGAAGTGAGCAGCGCACCATGTCACCTGGATGAACACAGCATGAGGAGGCATGCACCTCTTGAGATTCAGGCCTCACACGAATGTAATAATTGGCCACTCAGTTGAGTGAGGACAGGGAATTGGACCAATTATTAGGCTAAGCTCATCAGTAGACCAAGAGTGGGAAAAGGAGTCAAACTCTGATATGGTGGAATAAACACAAAGAACTGTGAATGCTGGAAATCTGAAACAAAAAAAAAGAGTGCTGAAGAAATACAGCAGGTCTGGTAAAATGTGTTGACAGAAAAACAGAGTTAAACATCCAAGCGTTTTGAATCCAGTGAATGACAGCACTCAAAGCATTGATTTTTTTTTTAACAGATGCTGTCAAACCTGCTGTATTTCTCTGGCAATCTTTATTTTTGCCTGAAATATTGAAACTGCAAAATGAAAAATGGTTTGGAACTCTTCTGTGAATTGGTCACCAACAGTTCCTTTAAGCAGCATTGATTGTACTGCTCACCACCAACTTCAAATGAAGGAAGACTGCAAGACTCACATTATATCATCTTTACTTCAAATTGTAATCATGACCTATGGAAGTCTAAATTCTTGTTTTGAACCTCTCACAAAATGGGCAGGTATGCTCTTTGCCATTCAGCAACAAACGTGTAAATTGCATTCAAGGAATCCCTACAGTGTGGAAGGAGGCCACTTGGCCCATTGAGTCCACGCCAACCCTCCTAACAGCATCTCATCCAGACTCAGCCCCACTACCCTATCCCTGTCACTTTACATTTCCCACGGCTAATCCATCTAGCCTGCACATCCCTGGACACAATGGGCAATTTAGCATGGCCAATCCACTTAACCTCACAACTTTGGTTTGTGGGAGGAAAACAGAGCACCCAGAGGAAACCCACACAGACACAGGGAGAATGTGCAAACTCCACACAGACAATTACCCACGGCCAGAATTGAACACAAGTCCCTGGTGCTGTGGGGCAGCATGCTAACCATTCAGGTGACCAAGAGATGACATAAATAGCCCCTCACCCATAATTTTCAGCTTCAGGCAAAAAACTGACAATACCCACAATTTCAAGTCACTCCTGGTAATACAGGACTTAGATGACTGAAGAACTGGCCAGAACAATTATTGTATCAAATGGACTTCTTCTGAGCTGTATTATTCTCTGATTCTATATTGCCAGAATGACTGGCTGGTTGGCTTACAATGCAGACTGATGATGATAGCGTGAGTTCAATTCCCATACCAGCTGAGGTCATCAATAAGGTCGGAGATAACAAGAACTGTGATGCTGGAGTCAGAGTCAATACAGTGTGGAGCTGGAGGAACACAGCAGGTCAGGCAGTATCACAGGAGTAGGAGAATCGACATTTTGGGCCTAGACCCTTCAGCAGGAGTGTAGGCCTGAAAGGTCCACTTTCCCACTTCTCTGATGCTGCCTGACCTGCTGTGTTCCTCCAGCTCCACACTGTGTTGATGCCATCAATAAGGTGTTGCCTTCTCAACTTTGGCCCTTGCCTGAGGCATGATGATACTCAATGTAAACTCATCATCAGACATCTCTGTCTAGCGAGAAGCATTTTATGGCCCTCTGGAATTATGGCAACTTTACATTTACTGCAAGAATACAACAGTTCTGTGAAGTTGTCACAACTCTATTCCATGTTTCACTTAAAACTCCAACACCTCTAACACAATTTCAGCATGAAGAGTTACTATTCACAATGTGCTGAGGTTTGTATATTGCTATATATATTGGCCAAGCAACCTGAATGGTTCCAAATCAAGTAATTTGGCTAACATGGATGGTTCCATCTGCATACTGCAGAGAATAACAAGAAGTCTCTGCCGAATACAATGTATTATGATCAAGATTTGGACATATTGTTTATGCAAATTACATCATAGGGCTATTTATGAAGATTGATTCAAAAATAACCAAGACCTAGGCCTGAACATCAGCAAAACATACAGCAACCTTTTTTTTAATTCAAATGTTCTTAGAAAGTTTATACTTTCAGCATCTGTTGTTTTACATTTTAGAGTCTGAATGCTGATTTGGAATGTGTCAGAGAAAAGTATCCTATAATTGCAAAGTGGGGTTCTTTCAAAACAGGAGAAAAGCCAGTAAGGCATAAAAAGAAGAATATATTACAGGGAGGAAAATGACTATTGTGCACACTGACAAAACAGAGCAGAGATAATGTAGTCCTGAAGATGGAAAACAGAAATCCTGGAAACAGTTATCCATTTTCCTGACTTTTCCTGATATTTTGAGATAAAACTATTGCCAGTCAAAAAGTAATTAGGGAGTGCAGAAATACGGATGTGAATGTACATCTGAAACTGAAGAGAAACAGAACGTTCATACACATCTGCTATGATATGGAATTTGCAGGTATACATTCTAAAAGTAAATGCAGTTCTGTTGTAGAATCATAGAATCCCTACAGTGTGGAAGTAGGCCATTCGGCCCATCGAGTACACACTGACCCAGACCCAAACCTCTATCCTATCCCTGTAACCCTGCATTTCCCATGGGTAATTCACCCAACTTGTACATTCTTGGACACTATGGGCAATTTAGCATGGCCAATCCATCTAACCCGCACATCTTTGTGATTGGAGCTTTTAAGTATCTTATTCACATCTTTGCAGGTTAGAAGGTTGTAATGTATCATTTCATCCATTGTACCAAACCCTAATAGGACAAGAGAAGCACAAACAAACGTCCATGGTCATACAAACCTTGCACCTCTGTGAAAGCTGTGACTCTCATCGCAGCTAGAGGCCCAGACTTTTGCCAGAGAAGCAGTCATGGTGTTACAGCTGATTGCAGTGCCTTTCTGCTTGGGATTGGAAAGTGAAACCAGGCAGTGTCCCACTCTCCTTTATTGCCCATTGAGACTGCTATATATGTGCACTGATGGAAAACAGAACTGAGTTCAGTTTATGATACTCCTCTAGCTGACTGGTCTGCTCTCACTCTTTGTATGGACCATTTCAGCATGACTACAGTGGAGAGGTGCCACGCAAACTTATTTTTAAATTAACCTGTTATGGTACACCTCTATGCCCATAAAATTCTGACATAGGACTTGAATCCAGAGCTTATGGCCCAGAGATAGGACCACAACCACTGTGCCACCACACCTTTTTACCAGGCAGATGTTTGTAGAGTAAAAGGAATTGTGCTCAGAGTTAGATGTGGAAAGGGGAAGAAAGGGAGAAAGAAATAAACTTTTTATATGATTTATATTGATTGAGTCTGTACACCAAGAACAAAGAATGATCAATCTTGTTTCACTTCAGTTGGTTAGGTAATTTCACATCAGCCTTTCTTACTGTTTTTAATCATTATCTGATTAGACCAGGTTAAATTAAAGACTGATTTAGCATTGCTATTTAAGACCAACCTGGTATATATTTAAGTGAGTAAATGTCTAAACTGAATACGTCCCATTAATAACCAAACCATCAAGAACCTGATTTTGTGAAGTTGAGAAGACATTACCAGTTAATGATTGACAAGATAAAATGCACAAGCTATCCTAATGGAGAAGGGAAGATATCAGTTTCAGAGCTAGTGTTCCAGTGGTCTAGAAAGAAAGCTGTTATGGCATGTTGAATTTTGATCTATTTAAAACAAAAATACTTTAGACTGCATATGAATAGTCTTGCCAATTAAAGAGCTCATTTATTCCCATGCTGCTAAGAGTTTTGCATCTGGTACATACGCTGAACAACAATAAAAGATGCAATTAAGGCCATTGAAATAAATGGAAAATTGAACCTCTGTAGCAAAATGACCCACACTAACATTTCCCTCCAGTGTATATACCATTGACTTTATATTGTTATATTACTGTAAAGTGCTGAATTATCAGTCAATACATCTTTTCCTGCACAAAATGTAAACAAAAATATGAACAAGAAGCGTTGTATTGGGTTCTCTGTGAATCATTTTCTTTGAAAACATTGTAAATATATGATGGAAGCTTTACGCATGTTTTTCCATTAGAGAAGACATCACACTGCAGTACATGTCAGACATTAACAGATTTGCAGCGCATTGCAAGCTAGGTCTAGTGTATTTTGTAACATGGCTCAGAGGTTAAACTTGTCAAATTCCTCAAGGAGCAGGATGAAAAGATTCGAGCAGAGGAAGTGATATTTGTGCTGTCAATGAAGAACTAACAGTACAGCCACATCGTAGACAGTAGAATAATTCCATATTATAATGAAGAAATATCAGCACCCACAAGGAGAATGCACCAATAAAACATTGTGATAACAGAGAACAACTTTTCAGTGTTCTTCATGGATATTCACATGTCACAAGAAACAAGGGAACAAGACACATACCTGTTTTGTGAAAAGGACTGCAGTGTCATAGTATTCAGGATTCTTATCATTTGCCTTGTTAAACTTTTTCTGCCACACACAAAAGTTTCGCAGAGTTAGTGCTGCATTGCTGGAAATCTTTGGACCCTTGTCTTCATGATTGATGACCATAAACTTCACTACCACAATGCTGACAGGGTTCAATATGCTGGGATGTTTGTATAACCGGGCGGCCACTGCCATCAACATCAGGACATAGTGCTTAAGATCGTCACCATGGAAGGTGGCCATGGACTCATCAGCCACTACTAATGTTTCCACAAAACGGGGTATTGATGCAAAACGCTTGGATCTACTGGCCTTTTTACCCACAAGTTCCGCTTTAGGTGTAGGATCCATGGTATGGGATGCTTAAAAAGAGAAAATTGGAATGTTAGCCAGAATCTGAAACTGGTTATATCAAGTACAGTGAGGCAAATTGCGATCTTCATTACCTGGACATTCATTTTAAAAGTACATCTCACAAAGAAACATCTTCACCAGATGCCCAAAGGACACTGCATGCAGCTGGCAGCAATGCCAAGGTGAAGTTGCTAGATTGTTAAGATAGGTGAACTTTTAAAATTAATTTTCCACATAGCCAAGGTCAGCAAATATTTTGGAATAATTGTTGACAGGAATCACCAATACCAGCCTGCCCAGTTTAAACGCCCAGGTATATAATTACACTAAAATCCATAATGCCTATTAAAGCTATAATCAAAGCAACTGAGTCCAGTAACAGACTGTCTGGAGTGAGATTGCCAATTGTGTTCATAAAAATATAATTAGCTTTATGGAATGATTGATACCTAGGGCTACCTCTGATAGGGCAAAGAATTTGAGAAATTAAACAAAAGATGGAAGACTTTAAGTTGTCAACTAAATAAATGGATTTGAGTGATCTGCTCAGCTCTGTGAGCAGTGAATGTGTCATAGCACCCTCTTTCTTTAATAAGGAATTGCAACAATACATTTGAGTTTATTGCCAAGATTTGTCCATCAAATTTAAACTTCTACTTGTTAGTGTAATAATTCCAGTGCTCTTTTTGTTGGATAGAGAACTGAGATCTTTTAAGTAACTCGTCATCCTGTACTCCAATATAAATTACAACTTCACCTCTCTCTTTACTTCAAGGTACCATCTAGTACTAAGATAAAGTTCACTTGGCCAGACAGTCCTGTGCCTTTTTTTTCCAACTGAGTCATTCTTCATGTGTGAAGTAGACAGCAATTGCTGGCAGTCCATTCAAGCAACAATAGGTATTATACTATATTCAACCTGCTCCTCATCCGGATACACCTATTTTCTGCTGAGGATATTGGACAATAATCTGGAGCAGGGATATCAGTGGGTCTTATTTGCTGTCATGCCAGTACTCAAGTTAACTGTTGCATCCCAACTGTTGGTGCAGGCAAGGTCAAGGCAATGTAACAAAGTTCACGACTTTGTGGCTTAACAACTATAACACACTGCACATTTATCAGCAACTTTGGAATCCACATTTTATGTGAGATGTGAATGCATTGTAAAAGGTGCAGAAGAGATTTACCAGGATGTTGCCTGAGCTGGAGAGTTTTAATTGGGAAGAGAGCTTTGATAGACTGAAGTTGTTTTTTCTTGAAGCAAAAGAGACTGAGAGGGAACATGAATGAGATTAATAAAATTATGAGAGGCAATACATAAACAAGAGTAGACAAGAAGAGACGTTCCCCCTTGGTGGGAGGATCAACAAGTACAGGACATAGATTTAAGGTAAGAAGCAGGTGGTTTCAAGAGAATGCCTGGACTTTTCTTTTTCACCCAGAGGGTGGTGGGAATCTGAAATTCACTACCTGAGAGGGTGGTAGAGGCAGAAACCCTTACAACATTTAAGAAGTATTTAGACATGTACTTGTCATGCCAGGGCAGAAAACGCAATATGCCAAAAATAGGGAAATGAGTTTGGAGTAGTTAGATGCTTGTTTTTGACTGGCACAGACTTGCTGAACCAAAGGGGCTTTTTCTGTGATGTCGACCTCTATGACTCTTTCTCCACACTAAGGTATTCAAGAGGTTGCTAATTTAGTGTAGTTGATAAGATCAAATACTGCTAAATCGTAAATGGCTCATAAACAGAATAAAATTCCCAGTAACATTTAATAATTAATCCTATTCCAGTTAAGAGCCAGCTAAATTTCTCCAAAAGAGTCTTGGGAAAATTATTGTTCTGAGCAAAAGTGAACTAATCTGATTTATATTTAATGCATTGAGTGATATGCAATTTAGGGAAAGGTTATTTGAATCCATTTGTAAAAGCCTTAACATACACTACAATCATTCTCACAAAACTACAGAAGGATTTTAATTAATCTTGATTAAATCCTTCATTCTGATTGTCCTGCATGCCTTCTGAGTTTGGCTACTAGAGGGCAGACAATCTTATAGAGAGGTTTGATGTAATCTTAAGTGACAAGGAAGCCATTCATCAAAATGGTCCTTTCGCTCAGTTGGCTGCACAGCTAGTTTACAAGACAGAGTAACACCAAAAGCAAGAGTTCAACTCCTACTTGGCTGAGGTTACCATGAAAGATGCTCCTTCTCAACCTGTCCCCTCACCTGAGGTGTGGTGACCCACAGGTTAAACCATCACCAGTTGTCCCTAATGAGAGAACAGCTGTAGCGTCTGGTACCTATTGCTGTACCAACAGGAAGTTTGAAGAGTTTCTATAATAAAATATTGTCTACCCATCAGGTAAAATAGTCATAAAACTTGCTAATATTGCAAATACTATTTCAATTGAATGTGTATATGTGTAAGCTCTAGTTATGATGAAGTGCAGCCAACATAAATTGGGAAAGGATAAGCTCTGTGTAAGAATAAGAAGGGAGAGCTCTTGTGGTAAAGACCCTACCTCTGAGTCAGGAAGTCTGGGTTCAAGTCCCACCTTAATAACATCTCTTAACAAGTTGATTAGGAGAATATTAAAAAAGAACAAGAAGGGTCTGGTGGTGCATGAGTGTCTCCCTACCTCTGGACCAGAAATTTCAGGTCCAAATCCCACCTATCCTGGAGGTGACTCGTAACAGGTTTGATTTGAAGAAAAGTCTTTTAAAGAAAGGTCTTCTGATGCAGTGGTAATAATGCCCCTACCTTTGAGCAAGAAAGTCTGGGTTGAAGTCCCACCTTGGAAAAAGATAGCCATGGAATTCATCATAAGAAGTGTTTTAATAAGAGCCAGTTTTGACCATGGAAGAGCTGGTGGAGAGAAAAGTGCTTTTCTGGACATTGTGAATAAAGCTGTGTAAAAGGCAGACATGCTGTTGCTTTATTTATTTGTCAGACAGGTAGTTGCTAAATCAACAAAGCTCTAAGTTTTTCCTGAAGAAGGGTCTAGGTCCGAAACGTCAGCCTTCCTGCTCGTCTGATGCTGCTTGGCCTGCTGTGTTCATCCAGCTCTACACCATGTTACCTCAGATTCTCCAGCATCTGCAGTTCCTACTATCTCTAAAGCTCTAAGTAAAGGTCGGCTCTAGGTTGGGGGAAGGGAGGAATGGTGTGCTACAGGGAGGGTGTTTGGGGATAGCGACCGCAGTGAACCATCGTAACCGGAGCAACAACAACAGATTACGTTTGTCTAGTGTTTTCAACACGGGAACATGTCGCAAGACTGATCAAATGTAGAGTCAAAGAAAGAATTATCAAACCACGTTAAATCGATAGGTTTTACATGAGAAAAAGTTGGTGACACAAGAAGTAATGTTTAATAAGAAAATTTCAGAGTTTATGACTACGATGCCTAAATGTATGACTGCCAACTGCAGGCCAAAGGAGGAGAGAGCAAGAGGCCAGAATTGGAGGGATGCAGAAATCTTGGAACAATGTTGCAGAGAAAGGGACAGACAAAGCCACTTGTTGTAGTGAAAAAAAAATTAGCTTTAAAATGAAGGTGGTGGACCAGGCGCTAGTATTGTGTGTGTTCGGGCTCAGCAGCGACTGAACGGAAGGTGGAGGATGGGAGTCTGGGGACCAGGGGAATGGAGCAAGTTAGATTATAGAAAACTGCTGCTGAGGGTTTCAACAGTGAAATAAGATGAGACGAAGTGGAGGCGAACAATGAGAATGAAGCGTAAGTCGGCAATGCTGTGAAGAGGAGAATTTGCTGAAGTTGCCGAATCTGGGCCCAGTGTGTGTAGAATGACAGCGGTCAGCGAGGGCGACGGAATTAGTGCCGAGTGTCTGATGTTTGTGCTGGAGCTTGGACGCAATAGCTTTAATCTGCCAAATGTTTGATGGGTGATCATTGCAGCTGGCATCCTGACGGTACAAGGGGCATGATCCCCCACCCACCACACACATTTCACAATCGATAGTGTTAAATTGGAATTAAACGTGTTTCTGAATGGACGGCGATTGGAAACGTTGCTGGGCAGAAAGCAGCCCTGCAGAGTGTTAGCCAGCAGAAGGGGGTTTCAGGCCGCTGTTGGTCTGTCAGTAATTCAGTGGGAAGATGTTTGCTATGAAGGAGGAGGTGGGGGGGGGGCGTAAGGCGGTGAGAATCCTGATCAGCCGGAGCGTTTGAGAAGTCTCTCAGCTCACTCCCGCATAACAGGGAGTGCCAACAGCACACCAGATGTTTCCAGCTGCAATGCAGGGGAATCTCACATTGACAGGCAGGATCACGTGTATTCCCCCACATTTTATACACAGTAACAAATTGTGACAGAGCCGGCAGCCCAGAAACTTCACCTCAGCAAAGGCCACCTGCTCTCCAGAGAATGACTGAGGGACGGGGAGGGACACTGCTCTCCAGAGAATGACTGAGAGAAGGGGAGGGACACTGCTCTCCAGAGAATGACTGGGGGAGGGGGAGGGA